CCAAAACTAGAACTGTTTCCAGGAGTAGAGAGCCCCATGGTTTCAAACTACCGACTTCCAAAACTAGAACTGTTTCCAGGAGTAGAGAGCCCCATCTTCCTCCCATGGTTTCAAACTACCGACTTCGTCGTCGGCAGCCCAACTCGTGACTACTGCTCCCCCAGAGCTCCTGTGCGAACAGCTGATGGGGCTGCTGTCAGGTGACATCTAGGAGGTTCCAACCCACAGCAGAACGAAACAACAAACGGTCCTGCACCATCTTCACAATGGTTCCTCCGTTTCAGCCCATTGCTGTAGCCACCAGGTCCGTCCATCTCGTTGAGGGCCTTGCTCCTTCTGGCTGCCCTATCCCCACCACTTCACCAAGCACGATGTCCTCTTCAGGAAGTGCTCTCTCCTGACCCCAGGCCCAAAGTATGTGAGATGAAGGCTTGCCATCCTTGCTTCCAAGGAGTGTTCTAACTAGACTTCTTGGAAGACAGACAGGTTTGTCCTTTTGGCGGGTCATGGTACTTTCAGTAGTCTTCAGCGCCACAATTCAAATGCGTCTGTTCTTCCTTGGTCTTCCATATGCAACGTCCAACTTTGACCTGCCTGTGAGGCAACGGAAAATACCACGGCGTGGGTCAGGCACACCTTAGTCCTCAAAGTTATACCCTTGCTTCTCAGTACTCTGAAGAGGTCATGTGCAGCAGATCTAGCAAATGCAACATGTCTTTTGGTCGCTTGACTGCTGCTTCTGTGAGCATTGACTGTGGAGGCAAGTAAGACAAAGTCCTCAACAACTTCAACCCTTTCTCCACTTATCATGATGTTACCTATTGGCCCTGTTGTGAGGATTTTGATGTCAGATGGATCACAACTCAAAGGAGAGATTACCAAAAAGAAAAAAGAAAAGCAGAGAAGACCAGAAATGTGTTTATTGACTATGCCAAGGCCCTTACTTGACTGTGTGTTAGAGTTCTCTAGAGAAACAAAACCAGGACGCTTATGATTTTGGATATATATATATTCTGCACAAAGGAATAGAACAGTGAATTGTGTGGAATATAACCCCACCCAGCAATACAGAGGGCTCAGCTCAACTCACTTCCATGGACCAGGTAATATACTGGAAGTCCTTCAACTCACGAGGGCTGCTGGGTCCAAGGTCAAGGAAGCAGACAGCTGAGTCTTCCACAGGGCAATACAGGCAGTCCAGCCACAGACAGCAAAAGCAAACAGCAGGGCCCATCACCAACAGTCAGCCAGAGTACAGGATCTGACAGTTCCAAGCTCGAGTGATGTACACACCAGCAGCGTGGCAAAGCAGGTCTCAAAAGAACCTCAAGCTCTAGCAACAGGATCCACGGGTTGGGTATCCCACGGTAATGTAGCTCACAAGTTGAGGCAGAGAACTAGCTAAGGTAGTAGCACACTGGTCTGCTCACCAGAGAGCAAGAGAGAGAGAAATAGAGCTTGCTGAGCCATTTCTCCCTTTGCCCTCCAATCAAACCATGACCTTATTAATCCCACATGGTCTTATTGGCCAGGTTAGCACACTAAACCTATCACAGACTGCGTGGCTCATAATAAACTATGGATGACTTTGAGAAGAATGGGAATTCCGGAACATTTGATCATGCTCGTGCAGAACTGGTACATGGATCCAGAGGCAGTTTGTGCAAACTCATAAGGCCTTTTGTTTCAAAGAGAGGACACTGGGGTCCAGAAAAGGGACTCGATTTCTCCAGGATCTTGTAAGTCAGGGGCCAAACCCAGGCTGGAGCTCAGGTCCTCAGAGGAAGTGGAGAAGAAGCGGAGCATTTGGGTTCCTCCTGGAAGACTGTCACATTATTCGATCATTTCCTCCCTCCCCTCTCCCCATGACTACCCTACGTCAGGATGCTACCCACTATGGACCCCAACTTGCTGGGCACTCTTGGTGCATCATACCCCTTCCACACCTCCACAGCGCTCATGGACCACAGAACAAAATAGAGAGAAGACGCTGTGACTTTATTGATCAATATACGGGGGGTTGGCGTGTTTGGCACAGCTGGATGGTCAGTCCCTGAAGGCGAGCAAGAGGCCTAAGAGAATGCCACAGGCAGGTCCCCGACAGGAGGCCTCTGTGCCTGAAAGCCGTGCCCTCTCTAAGATATTCCGGACCTCGGTCACTCGGATGCTCCCAATAGACCGATAGTCTGATAAAAGATTTTGATAATCATGCGCACAGCCCATGAGGAGGAAGGTGGAATTGAGAGACCCTGTAAGGAAGAAAGAGAAGTCATGACTCACATGCCCTGCTCCTCTTTCCAGATGCCCTTCAAAAACCAGAAACTGCTCTCTCACCAAAGGCACCAGGCACCCCCCCTCCCCCTCCCTCCCTCTCAGAACCCACCTCACTGCCATCGAGTTGATCTCAACTCCTAGTGACCCTGTGGGTTCCCAAGGCTGGAAATCTTTATGGGAGTAGAAAAAGCCTCAACTTCCTCAGGCGGAGCGGCTGGTGTTTTTTGAACTGTTAACTCTGTGCCAAATGTATGAGCCCCACGCCTAACCCACTCTGCCACCAGGGTTCCTGACCCTCCTGCTTGGGAAATTCATCTGCCTGTACCCCCGCAGCCTGGACCCATCTCGAGATCCCACGGGCCTCTCTCAGAGATGCAAGGGTGTTAGACAACCCCTGAGGGGGAGTCGTAGGAGGAATAGGCAATGGATAAACCAAGTGTCCTCCTCTCACCTGCCTTAAATTTTAAGGTGGAACTGTAGCAACTAGAGGCTTCCTCAGGGCAAAATTCAATGCTGACAAAATTTGGGAGGCACTCCTCAGTGTGTGGGCCCACACAGGTTGGGCAACTTTGAGAAGAGGCTTCTACAGATGCAAAAGTGTTGGCCTTGAGTTGCACGATGGGCTGCAAGTTGGTCAGGTTATTGCAGAGGTAACTCCGGCAGACACGGCTGGTGGAGGCAATGGAGATGCCAGGCGGTGAAACAAGGTAAGATGTTTCTCGGGGATAAGATAAGGCGGTGGTACAGCCTTTAAAACCCACGACTCCTCTTTGGGTCCCTGAGGAGCAAAGGATTAGAGAGCACTGATCAATATCTTTGATCCCATCCAGACCTTACCCTTCCACATCCTGCTTGCCCTGTGTCCACTCGGGTCTGGGGGGCAACGTTCTCTCTCTCCCAGTGTCTGGATACTGCACTACACAGGGCTCCTGCGCTGGTCTCCATCGGCGTCTCACTCTTCTCTCCCCCAGAAGGCCCTGCTGCCCCTCCCCCTCCCCCTGCCTGCTTCTTCTCCTCCAGACTGGGATCTGTCCACCTGTATCCTGCCCTCTTATCCAATCCATGCCACAACCCGCTGGGCCCCTGCCATGATCCCCCAAAGATAGGATGAGGTGAAGCTCTGGAACTTGAGTCCAGAGCCCCCTAGGGGCTAGGAGGAGAGCGGGGAACTGAAACAGCAGGCGGAGAGAAAGGCATCAAGCCCACCCCCGTGTCACCTGTCTCGATGAACAGTAGCGTCTCCTCGCAGCCCTCTCGCATCTGGCACACCTTGCTCCTCAGCAGAAGCCACTTCCAGTTATGGAGAGTAACTGCCCTGAAGTTCGAGGCTGTTGCTTCGTAGCACAAAAGAGCCCCAGCCACTAGAAACAAAGAACGCTCCTGCAGGCATCTGCCCCGACTCTGGCCTCCTCAATCCCTGGATTCTTCCCGCGTCCAGGTATGGAAACCAAGAGCTCAGCCTCCATAGACCCTGTCCCCTGGAGGGTTCTGAAATAGTATATCCTTCTCAAGTGGCCTAAGTCCAAGCCCTGATCCTCTGAAGTCCCAAAGTATCCAACCCCACCCCACCCCCAAGCCCAAGTGACATACGAGGAAGAGTGGAGATGGTCCCCAGGAGGTAGAGTAGCTTGACAAGGCTCCAATGCTGGGGTCCCATGGTCTTGGGTCTGGTTCTTGGGTGCTAGAGGTCAGTCTGAGCTCAGGTCCCAAGGTCAGTTCTCCTCCGTCCTTGAATTCCCTGTCCACTCACTGAGTCACCACCTTCTGGAGAGAAAAATTGTTCTGTCAACTTGGGTGTACCCTAAGTGACCTGAGACCTTCTGGTGCAGCTCTTCACGTGTCACCCACCACCTGAGCTTCTCAAAGCGAGGCTCTCACTTCCCTCCGGACCCTCCCACTGGAACACGGGCCTTGGAAGGACATTGGCTTATCCAGAGGACTCAGGTCATGCGGGCTGTCCTCCCACCAGAGGTGAGGAGGACAGAACAAAGGACTTTCAAGACCCACGTGTGTGTGAAAATTACCTGCCATCTAAGTACCACTTGGTTCAGAAAGGGCATTTAAAGGACTCTTAAACTGAATAATAATGGCACACACACAAACACAAATGAATGCATATAAAATCTGATGAAAGAGAAGTAAGGTCTGTAGCCTAAGACTTTTGTACCAATGTTGATTTCCTTGCTTACATGATGGGCTTCAATGAGTTTATGGGAACATGTCTGTGACCAGGTTATTCTGTTTTACCATGATCCAAAGGCATTCATGCTCCGTGGTCTTGCTTCCTCCTTACGCAGCTTTTGCATGTCTGCCTCAAGGGGGCACCTTTCATGTTGAACACTTTAAAGAAATCCTGGACGACGTCACAATCTTTCCTGTTTATCACGATACTGCTGAGTGGTCCAGTTGGGGGGCCTTTTTGTTTTAGGCTGTGGTGTGTTCCACACGGAAGGCTGTAGCCTTTGGTCTTCGCGAGTAAATGTTGTGAGGCTTCTTTGATTTCAGCAAACAAGGCTGTGTCACTGTGTATTTCAGGCTGTTACACGAGTCTTCCTCCAACCTGAGGCTGCAGTCTCCTTCATAGAATCCAGTGGCTCTGATTATTTAGTCAGTAGACAGATCAGTAAGTGTGGTGACAGGGCACAACCCTACCCAATTCTCCTGGTTTGAGTCCATGCGCTTGTCCCCTTGCTCTGTTCAAACGACTTTCTCTTGGTCTATGCACAGAATAGACACAACTTAAGTGTTCTAGAATTTCTATTACGTAAGATGCTGCCCACAATTTGTCAGAACCTATACAATCAGATGCCTTGGCAAAGTCAACAAAACACAGGTAAACATCTTTCTGGTCTTCTCTACTTTCAGCCAACATCCAGCTGACATTAGCAAGGATAACCTTCTCTCCTGGTCCTCTTCTGAATCCAGGTTGAATTTCTGACTGCTCCTTCTTGATGTGCTGCTAACACAGTAACACAATTTTTGACCAATCTTCGGCAAAATTGCATGTTATTGTTATGCAGTTCAAAATTCTCTGCATTCAGCTGGGTCACCTTTCTTTGGAATGGGCATGAATATGGATCTCTTCCAGTCCGTTGGCCCGGAGCTGCCTTCCAAATCTCTTGGCATCAACAAGTGAGCATCTCCTGCATGGCATGCCTTGCAGAACAGTTCCATTAGAATTCCATCCATTCCTGGAGTCTGGTTTCAAGCCCATGCCTTCAGTGTAGCACGAACTTATTCATTACCACCAGTTCCTGACCGTACACTATCTCATGAAACAGGTTGAACGCTAATTCTTTTTGAGACGATGACTCTGGATTCCTTCCATCTTTTTTAGATTCTCCCTGCATCATTCGATATGAGGGGAACTGCCAATAGAAAAACTGAATTAAAAGAAATGGAATGTTTCCATTAGTTCTTAATGCGCCCCTCCCACCCTACACCCATATAGGGTTATTGAAATCCTTGTGCAACACTGCTCAGCCGTTCCTTGGGGAATGTATGAGATCTTCTTCTGAACCCTACAGAACAGGAGAGTTGAAAGCACTGATCAGTTTTTTTGGGCTCAAAGCAGGATTGCAGGGAGAAATCTGACAATACTTAATTTTATTAGGTTTCAAATACCCACTTCTGTTCCTAGGTCTCTGTAATGTCTACTCTGGTCTACCAAGGAGCATGTCTGAAGATGCAACATCATTGGTGAGGATGGTGGCCTAAGGCAATGTGAGCCCCTCTCCAAGAACATGAAACAGAAGCAAATGCTAGATGTGCACGGTGCAGCTGCAACTTAAATGCACACTGACGTTGTTGCAAATAACACTATCACTTCCATCAATTACAGATGCGTGCGCATAAAACAGTACACATCTTACGAGAAAATACAAGCCAAATAACCAGCTTAGAATGCCTGCCTATGGACGGTGCAATCAAAGAATAGAAACGGGGAGTTGGAAATTGAGAAAATGACAATGTGTCTGCTGCTTTCAGCCGAGATCTGTCTGACAAGAGCAATGGTACAGCCTTGTGGCCACATCCTCATCTGAATCCAGCGTGAATTTCGGACAGCTCCCTATGGATACCACCATTTCCCATTCTCTTCAGCCAAGAGGTGTGTGTGTGATAGCAGGCACAAAGTCCATCAGGTGAACTCAGAGATGGGACTCTTTACTCCTCCAGATATGAGATGTGTGATCTTGTGCAATTTGCTGAATGCTAAGCCTGCTTCCTTTATAAAACAGGTAATGCCTAGGATCAAATGTAGGGTCGTCCCCACCCCCAGCCAGTCCTGGGGCTTTGGGGCTCGGCTCCAGGGGAGTCCCTCTGGGACATGGGGGTACAGTGAATGGTGTGACCCTTTGTTGGGCATGCCTACACAGTAGGGCGTGCTGGGCCCCTCTGGGGTTTCCTGTATGGGCTCCAATATATTTCTTCCCTTTTGCTTTAAAAAAAAAAAAAAGTAGGGTCATTGTGCAGAATAATAATATGGACAAAGGCTGGACAGATGCTTAACTCTCCACGAATATTGGCTCTCCTCTCTCGCCCCACCCCCACTACCGAAAGGCTCAAATTCCAGCTCTGCCGTCGGGTGTTTGAGCCCCTCCCCCAGGTTGGCCCCAAGCCTCTTTTCTAACTTTTCCAACTTTCTCTCCAAGTTTATCTCTTTTCTAACCCCCCCCCCCATGCACACTAGTCCAGCCAGAGTCCTTGTGACACCTCTCCCAGTCCAGAGTGCCATAGATCCACAAGATCTGTCACCTAAAACTCGGTGGCAAACCACGGGGCTAAGACACCCCCGTCCCCCCCCCCAAAAAAAAGACGGGACACAGACCGGGGAAATCGACGCGGACAGAGGATTGGCAGAGGGGCGAGGCACCCACCAGCTGGATTGCAGAATAACAGGACCTACCAACCTGAGTTGCAATGGGGACGCAACCACAACGGGTAAACTCTTTCAGAATCACAGGATGGAGTCGTCCTGTCCTTTACAACAAAAACCCAAAACCCAAATACACCCATACACGGGGGGCGGGGCAAAACAAACGGAATGGAACCTTGCAGTGGGGAGAGAGGCGGCCCAGCAAAACGTACCATCCAGAGGGGCGGGGGTTCGAGGGTGGGGGGACACGCGCGGCCCTCAGGGGGATGAGACCATCTCCGAGAGAGAAAAAGAGGGCAGGGCGCCCGGAGGAAAGTCGAGGGAAATGCAAAGGTGCACGGAAACACGTCCTGAGAGGACCGGCCGACCAGACAGCCTGGGCCCCCCTGGAGCGTCTATTACTACGCAGGGGAAGGGTAACTCGGCAGTTGGGTGACAGGAGCGAGAAGTAAGAGAAAACAAAATGGCCAACTAGCCCAAAGGGGCCAGCGACCAAAAGAAACCCGAAAAGCGAGCGAGCTGCACGGCGGCAGGGCCAAGGGCAGGCTGTGCGCATGCGCGGATGAGCCCGCGTCAACGTCCCGGCCGTTCCCGGAGGGGCGGGGCTAGCGTCGAGTCGGTAAGCTATACTCGACGCCTCATTGGCCATCTCCTCAGAAAGGGGCGGGACCGTCTTAGAAGGCAGGCCGCAGGGGAGGAGGAAGCGGCGCGACAGGCCACTCGATGCGTGATTGGCTGGTTTGAGAGTCTGGCGCCTAAAGAAGCAAAAGGGGAGGTTCGGGGCAAGAGGTCAGCTCTAGATCCTGAAGCTCTATTGGCTGCCCGCCTTGACGGCGGTAGGCGGTGCTTGGAGCGGATTGGTCCCAGCTCCAAGGGGGCGGGGACACAGCGCGAGCACGGCCGTTCTCCAGGCTAGAAACTTCTTTACGGAGTTTGGTCCTCTCTCTTCGACTGCCTCTGACCTGGCTCGAGGCTGTGGTAACCCGCGGGCTGGCAGTGCGATCCTCACCCCGCCCTTTTGGCCTCCCTGTGCTCCATCTCTTTTGCTCTGGATTTCCTTCCGGACACCCCCCTCCTCCCCAGCTCGGTCCCTCGAGCTCCTCTTGCCCTTCCCCGCCTCGCGGGCTCCCCGCGCCCCTCCCCCTCCCGGGACGGCAGGGCGTGGCCGCTGCCCAGCAGTTGGGTGGGGGGAGCTGGCTGCCAAGAAGGCGGAGCACCGAAGGGGCGGGATGGGTGTGCTCAAGATCGGTCGTTGAAAGCAGGCCAAGAAGCCCGAAGCACTGGGTGTGCCCGAAGAGGCTTGGTGGTGCCCCGAGCTGGGACGGGGTGCAGCGGCCGCAAGTTGGGCAGAAGGAAAACGGGAATGAACCAGGATGGGCAGGGGGGCCGTGGGCAGCCTGCAGTTCCTGAGGGTGCCAGAGGCTGTTCTGGTTTCAGAGGGTGCCAGGGCAAAGTCAGATGGGACGGGTCCAGGGGGTGGTTGAAAGGAGCCGGGGCTGCTAAGAGGTCAGCAGTTCAAAACCACCAGCCACTGCGGGAGAAAGATGAGGCTGGCTGCACCCCCCTAAACACTTACTGCCTCGGACACCCACAGAGCCAGTTCTGCTCTGCTCTGTAGAGTGGCTATGAGTCAGAATCATGGTGGGTGGTTTTTGGAGGGGGGGGGCTGCAGGGGGGAGACTCAGGAGTATTGATCGACCTGCAGGGACCATACAAGACTATGGAAATGAGATCAGGTCCCCAAGTATTTGTAGGACTTCAATCCATACTGGAAGGTGGAATGCAATTGTTGGATGGAAGGGAGAGTGTTCTTAGCGGGGTGATGGAAAAGAAGGCACCTCAGACATGGCCTTCCTGGGGTGGAGAGGTTGGCTAGGGGAAGGCGCCATGGCCACTGTGATCCTCCCCTCCTGCCCCCAGATCCATGGAACCCAGTAAGATGCCAGCTGTCCACCACTGCCCTTCAGACTCCTCTACAGGGGGTGACAGCGCCGCCCCCCAGGACACCGAGCTGGTGCCCAGGAGGACTGTCAGCCGCTCTCCCACCTGCGCCCGCTGCCGCAACCACGGCATCACGGCCTACCTCAAAGGACACAAGCGCCTGTGCCTCTTCCAGGCTTGCGAATGTCACAAGTGTGTCCTCATCTTGTGAGTACGACGTTGGAGGAGGGGAAGTTGGAGGAAGGTAAAGAGTGGCTGATCTTTGACTCATGACCTTCCCCCGCCCCCCCCCCCCCATTAGGGAGCGTCGCAGGGTCATGGCGGCCCAGGTGGCTTTGCGTAGGCAGCAGGAGGCCCAGCTCAAGAGGCATCTGGCTCAGGGACTGATGCGAGGGGCCGCCCCGCCCAAAGTTCTCAGCCGTGTCAAGAAGGGAGCCTCTCGGCCAGGGGTCCCCCGTGAGTGTCTCACCAGGGATGGGCCAGGGACTCAAGTGTGGAACGTGTAAGCAGAGAAAAGCTCCAAACGTAGCCCCGAACTGCCGTGTGACCTTGGGCAAGGTAGTTCCACTCTCTAGTCTCAACCTCCCCGACTTACACAGTGGGATCAAGTGAGATGGGGGAGCAAAAGGCCACGAGGAGGCGCAAAGTCAGTGTGGGAGTGGGGTGGTACGGGGACAGGGAGCGTGCTTGCCCAAGGTCTCCTCCCTGCCTCCTCACAGCTGGGAAAGAGAACTTAGCGCCTCAGGCCCAGACGCCTCTTGGGGCCATCCCATTGGCCCTGACACCACCCGGGAAGGTAAGGAGACCCTGGGCCCACAGAGAGGGGCACCCACCCTAGCTGATGCCCAGCTCCCTACTTCTCTATTCGGATACCTGGTTTCTGGCCCATTTCTGCCTTGCTAGGTAATCTTGGGCTTTCAAGAGCAAAATGGCGCGGCAGGGGGGGCGGGGCGGGGACAGGACTTTAAGCCCTGATGTCTTAGGGTCCCACCTCCATTCTAAAATGTGCCCACTCCTCTTCCCAATGCTCGGCCTTGCACCTGACTCTACCCCATGCTCTCTGCCCCGCAGGAGAACTCCTGTGGCCCCCTGCTGCTTAGCGGCCCCCCAGAAGCCTTGCCTTTGCCCTGGACTCCACTGCCCCCGAGTCCTTGGGCTCCTGGGCACTGGCTGCCCCCTGGCCTGGCCATGCCACCCCCAGTGGTGTGTCGCTTGCTTTGCCAGGAACCTGCTGTCCCTCTGCATCCCTTTCCCGGTAAGATGGGTCACTCCCCACACATCCATTCACCAGAGACTTGGGGGCCAGTGAGCTGTAGTGGAGAGAGAACAGGAATGAACAGTGGAGAGAGAACAGGGCCAGTGAGCTGTAGTGGAGAGAGAACAGGAATGAACAGTGGAGAGAGAACAGGGCCAGTGAGCTGTAGTGGAGAGAGAACAGCTGTAGTGGAGAGAGAACAAGGGAGTGGGAAGACGGAAGCCCTGATTTCTGACTCCACCCTGTATACTCTACATTCTCTAATTCTCATTAGGCTTTAAAAAATAATAATTTAGTTTATTTAGCTCAGTATAGCCAAAATTGATCATGTTCATGGACAGTCAACATAAAAATTACTGAGTTTATATTCTTTTTCATTGGCACCGTATCTTAAAACTGGTATGTATTTGATGCTTATAAACCAAAAGCCCAAACTGGCTGCTGTGGAATGGATTCCGACTCATGGCAGCCCACCTGCCCCTTAGTAGCACTGGTCTACAATTGAGATTAGCCGTTTTCAGGGGGCTCTGTAGCCATGGATGGCAAGGACTTCTGTATTGCACAACCCAGACTGAGCGACTTGTTCCTTGTCAGGTGTGTTGGCTTTACTTTGGGAAGGGATGCCTGGTGCTAGTCTCTCTCTCTCTCTCCTCTCCTCATTAGGCTTTGAACCTGGCACCTCACTGCGCTTGCCCACTCATGGGTCCCTCTCATCCTGCTCAGGACCTCGCCCCATTCTGACAGCTCCTCTTTCTGGAGAGCCCCAAGGAGCCCCTGGCCTGCCCCGCACGTGAGTGGAGAGAGGGTTGCGTGTCCTGAATCGGCTGCCTCTGGCGCTCTGGCCATGGGGTGGTTATAGGTCGGGCTGCTAACCACAAAGCCCTCAGTTCAGCATCACCAGCTGCTCCCTGGGAGGAAGATGGGGCTTGTTGCTCCTGTACAGAGTTTTAGTCTCGCAAACTCGCAGGGGCGGTGCTATAGGCAGATGACAGTGAGTTTTCGAGTTCCACCTTGTGCCTCTCTGGCACTGGTGGTGCACTGGGTCACTACACAGCAGGCTGCTCACCAATAGAACAGCATTTCAACACCTCCAGCCACTCCTCCGGAGAAAGACAAGAAGGCTTGTGGCTTCCACAAAGAGCTACAGTTTCAGAAACCCACAGGGGCAAGTGTACCCTGTCCTGCAGGGTCCCTCTGAGTTGGAATTGACTCGATGGCAGTGAGTGTGTGTTACTGACCATATCCCGACTCTGCACTGGACACCATAGTCAATGACCAAGCAGGAAAAGCTGCAGGCCAATAGACCAGCTGTGAGACAGTGGAAACACAGGCTGGCCTCCCTGGGCCTGTATCCGTAGCCATAAATGGAGGACACTGTGACTTGGATTGTTGTGAGAAGTGGCAATAAAGTGGGGGCACTATCAAGCCTAGGTCCTGGCCCTGAACAAGTGGGGGCTCTTGAGTCCACTTTAACAGATAACATGGGGTGGACGTGGCTGCTGAAACGGTGGGCCATGGTGGGGAGAACTCCAGGGAGCATGAAAGAATGCTTCCTAAAGGTGGGCCCTGCTGGGCCCTCAGGTTCCCTAGGACTTAGGGGATAATGGGGCAGGAAACCAACCTCTGGGCAGAGGCTGTCATCTCAGTCCGTCCAGATATGTGGTCCGTGTCTAAGACACTCCGATGGTCCCCTGTGATGCTCCGAGGAGGAAAGGGCTGGCAGAGATTGTCCCCTTACAGCAACCAAACTGGCCAAGACCAAGGAAGGGCCTGGCCCAAAGCCAAAAACCTAATGGCGCAACAGCCACTCGGCTCCCCAGGTCAGGACAAAGCAAAAGCTCGCTCCTCTTTCTGTGTGTGTGTCTGTCCGTGGGGTTGACCCACGGTGTGTTCTCTCCTTGTCTCTAGATGCTCGACTCTGATCCTCCAGCCATGCGGCACTCCAGACCCCCTGGTGTTGCAGCCCCAGGTCCTGAGGAAGAGCGGGGGTTCAGGACTGGGCGGGGTGAGGGAAGAGCAGGGGCCTGGGGTGGAACCAAGGGCTGTAAGAGCACTAGAAGGATGGACCGAAAGTGGGCGTTCCCATCATGCTTCTCCTGTGGGCTCCTGCAGGTCCCTGGAACCTCTCGCCTCGCTTGGGCACCAGCCCCCTCTGAATGGCAGCTTCAGAGGGAAGCAGCCGAAGCCCTGGTAGGGCTGAAAGATTCATCTCAGCCTCCCCGCCTGACTCCTTCTGTGCCCCCCAACCCTGCCTGGATCTCTCTGCTCCAACCTTGTGGCCCACCAGGTAACCGGTTCCCTCCTCAGAACCAGTGTCAGGTCCTGGGAGCAAACGGGAAGGGGATGGCTGGGAGGGAGAGGCCACTGGAGCAACCAGGACCAGCTGGGAGATAGGGCCAGCAGGTTGAACTTCTTCAGGCACAAACCCCCAAGCTCCTCGGCCCAAGCTCTGAGGTTGCACCTGAGGGTCGTTCACATTGAACGCGACACTCCCCAGCAAATGTCCAGGGCCCTGGTGATTAGGCCAGGCCCGAGAAAGGTAGGCACTTGTCAAAGGCCCTCAAGCAAGACCATGACCCATGGGAAGCCTGACTCCAGCCCAACCTTGGGCTCTCCCCTCGGCTACCTCTTGCAGGGAGGGAGAGGAGTTAGAAGAGGTCTGATGACGGCCTTCAAGAAGCTGCCATTCTGACTGGGGAGCCTGTATGCCTTCCCTAAGCACCGTAACGGGGCTGGAGAGGCTGGAGGCATGAGAAACACCAGGGAGACCGAGAGGGCAGGCTGAGAGTTCTCTAATTCAGAGGGGATCGGGTGTGGGGTGGAGGGTCACATGGGTGAGGTAAGCACACTACATCCGTTTGTCACCAAATCCAAGACTGCTAGGTCTGGCTGGCATCTGTCTCTCTTACTGGCCCACTGCTAGTACCTTCCTGCATAATCAAAGTAGCCTTTCAGGTCTACAGAGCATCCCGGAAGCCAGCTAAGCATGGGCTTACCTGTGCTAACTTACTAACCTGTAGTGAACACCTTTATGCAGGCCCCAATCCCATCAGACATGGTGAAATTGTTCACTACAGATTGCTAAAGACGCCCAAATAAGCCCGTGCCTGCCTGAGGATACTGGCCTAGAGAAGGGCAAGGGAGCCCTAGAGACTTCTGATGGGAGACACCTGGCCTGCCAGGTGCCTGGGATGTCTAGACCCAGCCTTGTGTGCAGGGGAGTCAGGGAGCAGCCCTGAGCAGGGCAGACACGGGTGCAGAGCCTCTGGGCTTGACAAAGATAAGTCAGGTGACTGGAGTAGAGGGAGTGGAAGAAGCAAGCCTGGTGGCTAGGTAATTGGCAAGAAAGGCATCTGGGCCAGGACCCAGGTGGACAGAGGGGGAAGGAGGGCAATGGGCGGGGTGAGAGAGAGGCAGGGATGAGGGCGAGGTGGAAATGGATGTGACCAGGCCCTGCCTGCTTCCTCCCTGCAGCTCCGGCTGGAGGAAGAGGATTCCAACCAGTGAACCCTTCTCTTCGGCCCAGCCCAGCCCCGTCCGTGGCTCTGCATATTGGGCGGCTTGGGTCCATTTCTCTCCTGAGCTAGAAGCTCAGGGGGCCGACCTTGCTGGGGCCTGGGAGCCACAGCCGGCAGACACTGCGTATTTGTATTGTGCTTAATGGATTTACGGGTGCGACTGAATGTAGCACAAGCTTTGTGGGTTGTTTGGTAAAGTCTCAGGTACTTGTTAGCCTTCTGTTCCTTTTCTCGGGTGGGGGCATTTCCTGGGCTGTGGGGTAGATAGTCGCTTACCTCTTCCTCCAAGCCCAGCCCCAATCCTGGGATCTTTGAAAATTCCCGACCAAGAGTCTCACAATTGAAGCTGACCAGAATGTAACCGGGTTTTTGCACGAGTTGGTGTTCGGGGATTGCTTTTGACACGTGACTGTACATGCCTGTGCATGTCTGTCTGTCTGTCTGTCTGTCTGTCTCCATGCATGTGGGAACTGGGTTTCAGTGAGCAAACAAAAAATAAACTTCTGTTGTTTTAAATAACCGAGATCTGGGGGATATATTGCTATCACAGACTAACCAAGTCTTTCCTTATGGATAGAAAAGATCTGTTCGATTAACTTTTCTTCCTGTCTAACTTTTTCTTGGGAATTAGCTGGGGATTTACCAAGCAGGTGATCCTTTGCACATTCAACCCTCCCAATGGCTTTCTCTATTTCCCTCTGGCCGATCTCCCTCTTACAGGACATTATCTCGCCCTAAACTCAAGTTAACACCTATTTGCCCTCTAGCCTAAGGGGCCTCTGGTGTCATAGTGGGCTCCGAATTGAGCAGCTAACGGACAGTAAGCAGTTCAAACCCACCAGCCGCTCTATGGAAGAAAGATGAGGCTTTCTGCTCCCACATAGATTTAGTCTGGGAACCCCAGGGCGGTTGTGCTCTGTCCTCTGAGTAGGTCATTCCGAGCTGGGAACGGACTTGACGGCAGTGAGTTAGCTGCCCTCTAGCCCCCTGGTTGGCAAATTTCAGCTCTCAAGCCAGATGCGGCTCTTTCAGGACATGCGTGTGGCTCTGAAGTAAAATAGAAAATTCTTAAAGGGTGTGATTCAGATAATGGTGATTTCTAGCCTCTTACTTCCTGCTCTTCCCCACCCAGCCCTGTTTCTTTTCGTTTGGAAACCTTTTCTTGATTTGTCTTTACCTGACAGTGGTCTCATACAATAGCTGCCTACTTTGATTCACTAACTTTATTGCCCAGCTCATAGCCCAGTACTCCACCAGGGCTGCTGCTCGGAGTCAGTAGTTAGGTACCTGCAAGGTGGCAGACATAGGCAGTTTCCACTCTCCGCGGGAAGCACAAATTGGTAAGCAGGTTGTGTAGGTGAAGAGTGCATGTCTACCCAAGGACGACAGCCTCTGGGCCTGGCCAACTGTGGCCAGGAAGGCGTGTGAGCTTACTCTTGTCCCCCTGCCTAAGTTTTCACAAGAAACTGAACATCTGCTATCGATGTTCAGGGTCTTCATCTTCACGTATTGGGTGTTGGTTGCTTTTGTCTCTAAATCCCCCGTGGGTCAAATAAAGCAGCATCCGGCCAATCTTGGCTAATGGGATGTCAGTTTGATACTAATCTTAACATTTTCAGATGGAATTGAGGCCCATCAGGACCAGAAGAATCTAGTTAGTCTTTATCCAGGGCTCCTCCCAAATTATGGCGGCTCATGTGTCTGGTTTTAAAGACCCATACACGATCAGAGACAATCACTGTCATTTATTGAGTGCCCAGTTCACATATATTGTCAACAGCATTTCACAAATGAGACAACCCTAGAGAGAGAAAGTGACTTGGCCCTGTGTGGTTGGGGGAAGTCATAGGCAAAATTGAGTGAAGGGTTTTTCTTTTTGTCAGACCCCAGTGAACTCACAGGTAATTTTATCAAGTATTTAGTAACGATCAGACATAGGTCAGCAGGTTTTCCAAGCCTCTTGATTTTTCTAATGAGGTCTCTAAAGAGTTCATTACATAATAAGATCCTACTGTCTTATTCTCTTAGTCCTTTGCTCTGCACCCTTCTCCTTGCAAGCCTGTTGAGCTGGCCCAGAGACATGACTCTCTGGAGATTCCCCATCCCACATCCTGTCCCCAGTCCCACTCTTAGAAGGGGCAGACGGAAAGCTTGAGGGATGGGCCTAGTAACTTACTTTTCCTGGTGTCACCAGCATCCCTTTTTTTACTCCAGATGATGGATCATCATGGCATCTGATCACAACGTGTTCTTTCTTGTTTGGTGCCTTGAGCTGGGGCTACTTCTAGTCCCTAACAGATTGCAGCCTAGCAAACCTACAATACCTCACAGGTCACCAAGCAAGATATCCAGCAGACCACAGTCTGCTTCACACCTTCCTTCCAACCCGTGATAACTCATATGTCTGATGGCCCTGGAGCAGACCTGCCTAAGCTTTGCTGTGCCCTGCATACCCGGTGGCATGGCTAAGCCCACATGGTAACAAAGGAGGGGCAAATGACATGCAAAATGGTGACCATGCTGCTCCTCAGGGCTTAACAAGGCCACACAGCCTGGCTGGGTAAAAGTGTGCCTTGAAATGGGGAGAAAACGAGAAAGGAAATGAGGGTGATTGGGGAGCACACCGATGAGCAAGGCCTTTCCAGACCTTTCCCTCCTTGCCACCCACCTCCCTTTCTGCACCAGACCTAGCAGGCTTTCCCACTGAGCCCCGGCTACGCCTTTTGTTCTTGAGAGTTGACTTCAGTAGGTTCCAGCTCCCAGGGACCTTACACGTCAAATCCTAAGGGCCCCCGAATTGGCACCTGAGGAAAGGGGTCTTCTGTGAGGAAAGATAGGGGGATGCTACATTACAGGCCACCTGGGGTGCAGCACATGGTCTCTGTAGCTGCGGTAGCCAGTTGGGCTCGCTCCTGGCCTCTGCCCAGCCAGTGGAGGTGATAGAAGACAATGAGCCCCGGCCCAAGCGCCCCGACTATTGCACGACGGAGAAAGACTGCTTCCCTGGCCCAAGAGTGTGCTGAATAGCTCGTACAACCAAACAGGTTCTCCATGGAAGGTTTGAGGAAATTCTTCCCACATCCCCGACTCAACATGCTGGGGAGCATCACACGCTGGCATGTTACCACACACCTGGATCCCAGTATCCAGAGTTGGAGAATGTGGCAGACATGTAAGCTGGGTGGGCTCCAGACGGGTGAGAGAGAGATCTTCACTTTATGAGGTGCCAAGAACCCCAAGAGGACCACTGCAAAGTCTCTTGTTTACAGAATGTACTGGAAAGAGCTTGAGCGGAACCTAGCTATGGTAGGTTCCCATCCCAGCTCAGACCCTCAGACAAGTTGTAACTTGAGTGACCTTGAACGCCTTCACTGAGGTGCTGATGGGGAACCTGTAAAAGCTATCACCTATGCAAATTATCAAGGACACAGTGTGGAGAAACTGTTCTCTCAGATCAGAGACGGCCAGGTGAGCTCTGAAAGCACATCAATAGAATGGGACACCCGCACTTGTCTGGATCTGGGTCACATAAGGCCCTTGGACACAAGAAACAGGTGGTTTCCAGAGACAATCTGTCCATCTTCATTGGACATTTCCAAGGAAACCTGACTGCACAGTTCAGGGTGATGACGCCTGTTATACCAGGCCATCTTCTCTGCCTTGAGGCTTATCAAAACTCAGCTTAATAGAAATGTTACCTACACTCAAACTCACTGCCATTGAGCTGTACTCGACTCATAGTGACCCTAAAGAGCTACTAACCCTTAGCTAGGTCAACAGTTTGAAACCCCCAGCTGCTCCTCTGGAGAAAGTTGAGGCTTTCTGCCCCTGAAAGAGTTACAGTCTGACAAGTACACAGAGGCAGTTCCACTTTGTCCTAGAGCAGTGGTTCTCAGCCTTCCTAATGCCGTGACTCTTTAATGCAGTTCTTCATGTGGTGGTGACCCCCCCCCCTCAACCATTAAATTATTTTCATTGCTACTTCATCACTGTAATTTTGCTACTGGAATCGGGTGACCTTTGTGAAAGGGTACTATAGGTCCGTCCCCTTGAGAACCGCTGTCCTATAGGGTTGCTATGATGACCTAGGCTCCACCCCTGCCAAGACCCTCTGTGAACCTTGTCTCTTCGTGAGACGGTGTCTGGTTCCTTTAGAAAGCTGGCTTTAAAAAAGAACTAGTGGATGAATTTGGTTACATAATTCAAAACTGACATTTTTAGAAATGTATAAAGAATGAAGGTACTCGTGTATATAACCATCTCCAGTTAAGCAGTCATGCAAATACATATTCTCTGCTATGATATGCTAATTTTGGCAAAAAGGGAATTGGGGGGGGGGGCATTTAACTCAATAGCCAGAGGGCAGACAACATTAATTTGGGTAAGGAGAAGCCAATTAATAACCAAAGATACTACAGATTCTCCCGTTTAAAAATGTATTTTTAGAAATTCTCCATGAATGTAAAAAATAAGTTTAAATACGTAAGTTTATCACACCAGAAGCCTGGTTGGTATTCATTTATAACGGACATCGGTATCAAATCTCAGTGGTTTACAAATAGCTAAGACCTTGTGCCTACCCAGCATCTTACTGTTGGGGGAGGATGGGGTTGGGAGCGTATTTGTATTATTCGGTCTAAAGTCTCTTCAGCATCAGAAAGTACACACACAGTTTCCTTTCGGAAGCAAATTAATTCACGTAACTTTACTGGATCAGGTATTCTTTGGCTGTTGGGCTTAATAAAAATCAAATGTGATCATGCAAGGAAAACACGTAATCGTCAACTACCAAACCCACTGCCAGCGAGCCCATTCCCACTCACGTCTTGTTAGGAGTCTGGGAGTCGCACCGACTCCGAGCGACTCTATGCAGGAACGTTGATGGGCGCAGAGAGCCTTTCTCTTGGGGAGGACCTGGGTGGACTTGAACGCTAACGTTGGCGCCACCAAGGGCTCCCCCCAGCAAAACAAGTCCTCCAAAAGTATTTGATAGGATTGAATACATGATGCACCTTGCGTAGGTGCGGGTACTTCCAAGGGGCAAATCATCGGTGTCGCAGTATCTACACTTTGCACAGGTGGATTTGGGGTCTGGACACACTGAAGCCACGTGAGAGCAAAAGGACACCTGAAAAGACACAGGTGAGCGAGGCAGGTAAAGCGATGTGAGTCAAGTAAGCTGAAAACAACGCGCCCGGAGCGAGCGCTCCAAACTTCCCAAGAAGGTCCCGCCTTCGCCTTTAAGACCCGGTCCGACTGCCTCCCCGCTGCCCGCGGCCGTGGGAAGCACGTCCGCCCCGAGAAGGGGGCGCCTTCCGCTTCCTGCTCTCGCGAGCGCGGGGAGAGAAAAGGGGGAACGTGGGCCACGTCGGCCCCTCACCTGGCCCTAAGCTTCCCTGTTCCAGTTCCGCCCTCACTGCCTCGTTTCCGGCCTGGGAAAGACCACTAGCAGCCGGCGGAGGGGCTCCTCCCCTCGGGGCTCCG